TATATATATATGTATATATGTATATATAAGTAAAAAATGTTTTTAAAATAAAATAGGTACAAATATTAGTTTTCAGGAAAACAACATATCAAGCAAATAATATCTAAAACTTTATTTGGAAATTCCTACGAATTAGAAAACCATAATCTCTGGGGGTTTTTTTAAAACTATAATCTCTGAAAATGTACTTTTACCTCTCCAAGTTCTTCATGGCTCTGTTCAGTGTAAGTGGTATCCTTTAAAGGCTCAACAGGCTCAGGTTCAATATATGAATCATCCTGCCTTTCTGATGTATCAGTATCACTTTCTTCACTTTTCCCCATCACCTCATTGTCTGATTCGTCATGTTCTTGATCATTTTCTTTATCAGATTTATCAGAATACATATCTTGATCCTTAAATTGCTGTCGTTCAATTTCACTATCATTTAACCTTAAGGGAATTATTAGGAGGAATAAAGGAGGTTAAAAATACTTTAATTTATACATTAGAATGAATATATTTATTGTGAGTTTATTATGTGCTTGACACTGTTTTAAGTATTTTCTATACTTTAAATTCATTTAATCCTGAAAATTACTCTATGAGAAAGGTAATATTAGTCTTATTTAAAAAATTAGTAAACAGAGGCAGAGAGAAAAATGAAAACCTGGAGAGATGTTAAAACATGATACTCTGAGCATTGGCTCTCTCTTCCTAGGGCTAAAATCTTCCAAAAGTAAAGTTTTAGACTACTCCTAGGTAAATTTGTTTTCTTCTATAAACATCATTGTTCGAAGCAAGCTCACTGTCACTTTTGGTCTGAAGAAACAATGTAAGACAAAATTATCAGGTTCTCAAGTGAACTGAAACAAATTACAACTTCTTATTTGTAAAAGTCTCCAAAGTCACCCAAAGTAACTCCAAGAATAAGATGAAATAGCTTAATCTTGAGGCAAAAATTCCAGGGAGAATTGGAAATGAAAATTTCAGCTTACGGAAACATGCCTACAGTCTAAAATTGAAAAATTCTGCTATACTCATCCTATTCTTACTAAAATTGATTAGGGTAAATAATCTGTATAAAGCGGGTAAAATCTTGGAAACAGATCCCGTCAAATACCCATTCCTACATCAGCTGCTCCGCCTAACTCTTGTACTAGTCCATTCAGGCTCCAGGTATTTGGGATTGAAATGAAAGTTCTAGATTATAGGTCTGCAAAGAAAGGATGTAATAATTCAGGTAACAGAGGTTTTAAAGGACTAAAAACAAAGACACAAACAAAATTGTGTTGAGAAAAAGGATAGGAAAAAACTGGCTCAGCTTGCACGGAGCAGTCTAACTTTGAGAAGAGCAATGTCAGAGCTGATGAGGATGAGCAGCGGCAGGGCAAAAGTTGAGCAGTGGGGGAAGGGAGAAAAAGGAGAAGTTCACTGTTCATCCTACAAAGCAACAAAAGACACCAGTGCCTGAACAGTCTTTGAACTGCTGCCTGGTTTCCGCAAAGAAATAATTTGCTTGTATTAACTACAATAAGTTTCAGGAGATAAAATCACAAACTGGATTCAATTCCAACCTTAAACAATAATATAAAATAATCCTACAAATACCAGGTACAGAAGGTAATTTGAGTGGCGTTACAAAAAATGTAACAGAATAGCAATAAAAATATTATATTTCATTTTTAAGAGGCAGGAAAAAACTGCATAAATTATGTAATATTTTAAACTGATCTTGAAAAATACATGGGATTATGACAGGCAAATAGAACAATAAGTAGAAACCATTCTTAGTGGAAGGAACATTATGGACAAAAACAACATAGACAATATGTTTGTATTTGGGAGAGTAATTCAGGTTGGCTTGAGTAAAGGAAATAAATTTCTATACTTGATTATAGCGACAAATTTTATTTTATTTTACTTTTATTTATTTATTTATTTA